ATAAACAGAAGTTTATAACAAAATTCAGTTGTATTTATACAACATCTGAATATTACAACAACATTTTCAAAACAGAAATTTAAAGCAACAACAGAAATTTGTCTTCTTTTTGCTCATCAGTCAACCAAAATTCATCAGTCATACAGTTTCCATAAGNGTAAATTAAAACAACGGTTTCAACATCTGAATATAAACAGAAGTTTATAACAAAATTCAGTTGTATTTATACAACATCTGAATATTACAACAACAGTTTCAAAACAGAAATTTAAAGCAACAACAGAAATCCGTCTTCTTTTTGCTCATCAGTCAACCAAAATTCATCAGTCATACAGTTTCCATAAAACGACCAACAATACAACAACAATCGTCAAAAGGATCCGTCTTCTTTTTGCTCGAACTTTCTCCTCTTCAAAAGCTTTGACTCTCTTTAATAAACCCCAAATTATATTCTTCGCTTGAGTAGGCATCTCATCGTCATACCAACAGAAATAATCACATCCACCCTTTTTCTACAAATATCACAAAACACTTTTAATCAATTTTTATCAAAGAAAATAATTCATAAAATAGAATTTACAAATTATGAACAAACAATTTACCTTTCCGATTTTGCAAGCAAAACACCTACGACCTAGGTTTAATTGGGTCCAAGAAGTATTCAACTTTGGAGAAACACCACACTTACAGATTCGAGCAGCAACGCAAGGTGACATTGACGAGTTCGTCGATTCCGAGAAGTTCGACATTAATAAACACGTCAACAACAGAAATGAGTGGAAGAAGAGAAGGGAAGAAATTAATTGATACCAAAAAGAGAACAGAAATGAGAGAAAGAAGAGAAGAGAAGAAAAGATTTGCTGGAGAATTGCTGGAGAAATCTGAGAAGAAGAGAAGAGAACAAATAGGTTTTTTAAGAATTGGGAAAGGGATTAGGGTTTAAATAATAATTGACAATCCATGTTACCGTTATGTGTCTAACTAGGAATGGAAAAGTCACTTTTTGGAGTCACGCTATATGCCACCAACAAAAAACGTGTATAATTGGTATGAGAATTGCCTAAGAAACGTGTCTAATTGGAAAGAGGTCTAGTTTAAGTGTCTAAGTGAAAGATCGTGCCAACTTTAGGTGTCTCCGTATGTATTACGCCAAAAATAAAAGACCATTCTGATGCATCTTATGTGCTACATGTTGCATTTCTTCAAGGGTAAAAGGGTCATTTGGCGGACCAATGTAATTGAAGGCGAATTAAAAAAAAGAGAAAAGAGGAAAAAGAAAAGAGAAAAAAGAGAGGCTGAAGTGTGAGGATGAAGCGAGTAAGGCCCAGCTATATTTTTGTTACATTTTATTAAGAAAAAAGAGCATGGAAACTTCAAAAAGATTTTGCACTCTTTATCATTTTTCAAAAATAAAAATAAAAATCGAAAAAAGACAGAAGAAAATCCAAAGAGATTTTACATGTTTCATCATTTTTCGAAAAAAAAGAAAAAGAAAAAATGTTTTTTCTATATGTCAGTTGTTTTTTTTATTATTCTCGCCTGTATCCAATCTGCCCGAACTACGCATACCTGATTCTCGTCGTTCGGGGCGTGATATGTAGGCAACCCATATTGGGTCCGGTCTTCCTAGTAAATCTTAAGTTCTTGGTTTTGCAGGGTCTTAGCCAAATTCTGCACTTCTAGCCATCTTTTGGCCAAATAAGCCATTTTACAAAAATAGCCTCAATCATGTCTTATATGTGTCTAAGGGAATGTTATTGTCTCACATAGTGCTGGTTCAAGTTTTCTTATACAGGTGTGGATTTATTTATCGGAGTTGGAGCATGACCGCCTGGGGCGGTCTCTGCCTTCTTAACACGCGACACACCAACTTGAAGTCTGATTTTAAAATCTCTCTCTACCTTCACAAAACTTCTCGCGCCCTTCTAGTAGTTTTGACTTGCTCTTAGGCTACCGTCGACCGGCTTTGCGAGACCATTTCGGTCTACACACACATGGCTAAGCGCTATTGGGCGGAGCTTTCTCAATCCAAGCTAACTAATAGAAGAAAAGAGAAGAAAGGAAGATCTTATAAGAGACTCACCCCATCTTTACATAAGCAATTTCTTGAACGGAAAAAATAGATGCTTTCATGGACTACTTTGACTTTAGGGATTTGCTTCATCATTAGCTAAAGAAGAGAGAGAAGGGGGAAGCTTAGTCTAATTGTCCGAAGGGATTCTTTCTTGATTGGATGCCATCTTTCTCTTAATTCCTATCGTGCACTTACATACAAATCTATCTGTAGTTCATCTCCTTCTGTTTGGTTTCAATCAATAGAGATAGCAGAAGCCTGGGATACCATTCCTTTTGCGCAAATAATAAGAGGTTACATGTTAATAACTCAATCAATTCTTCGAAAATATATTGTATTACCTTCATTGATAATAGCCAAAAATCTCGGGC